CGAGCGCCTGCGGCGGGCTGAGCGGACCCGGTCCGCCCCGGTTCGTACCCCCCCGGGCTGGCCCGGAGCAGCTCGGCCGCGCGTGTCTCACCCTCAGGGAGCCCAGTTTTCAATATTCACCCAGAAGCTTCCAGCGTTTGAAGGTTTCACGGGAGAGGAGGGTCGCACGGACCTCCCTGCCCGGGCTGGCTTTGAACCGCGATCCTCAGATTTCAGCCTCCTTGAGTAGCTAGGAGGACCGGCGCGAGCCGCCGGCGCCCGGCTGAGCTTCTGCTTTTACAGGGACTGTTTCTCACACATCCATAAAGCCAAGTGAAAGACACGGAAGATACGGTCGGGTTGTGAATAACAGAGACTGTGTTGGGGAGGATTTAACTGAAGTAAAAAATGTAAAGCCTTACTGAATAATGTGACTTTGACTGTTGCCGACTAATCTTTGTAGGCGACCTCAGCCCTGCTGAGCTGATGATGCTGACCATCGGAGATGTTATTAAACAACTGATTGAAGCCCATGAACAGGGGAAAGACATTGACCTGAATAAGTAAGTGGGTCTGTAGAGGAACACAGCCTTGCTCTTAGGCGGCTCCTACTAACCAGCACTGCAGCACAGAGTCTTCTGGCTCCCGATGTTTTCAGAGCCCGTCCTGCCTTCTGAGTCTTCTCTTCCTCTGGTCCTGTTGTCTATGTTATCCCCACCCTCTTTTCCCACACACATTAGTCTTTGCTGTATTTTAGAAATCTTCATTATTGGTTGGTGTGGTATGTGGATGTGTTTCATCATAATACAGGACATGAGGCGCTGGCAGACAAGGACTTAGGTGTATGCTAAGTACCCAGTTAACATGTGTTGAGAATGATACAAGCAGCCCACAGGTATTTCTAGATTAATTTTAAGACAGAATGACGGTTACAGTTTGGCTAGCAGACACAAAGAAAAGCTGATGAAATTGGAAAAACCAAAGGAATTAGCTAGGCATCTGTTGCACGCACCTATAACATGCACATATATAACTGACACAGGCTCCTTAGTTCAGGCCAGTCTTGGCTACATAGCAAGACACTTGCAACCAGAATGAAAGTTACTTCTGAGGGTTAAGAATAGACTTATAATCAGGAAGGGTCAGATGAAGAAGTTGCTTTTTAAAATGTATGTTTGCTGTTCTTTTGTTTTTATTTGTGTGAGTGTATATGAATAGTATTTTTGCTAAGAAAGTGATTTTTGACCAAGGTGAGTTTTCTCCTCAGGAGAAAGATCTAAAGACATTTTTAACTGTTCAATAGAACAGGACAAAGAATGCTAGCCAGATAAAGGCCAAGGGTATCCTAAACATTCTGAAGAGCACTAGACAGTATCCCAGTGTCAGTGGTGCAGCAAAAAAAAAAAAAAAAGTAGAGTCAGAGTCATCCTTTGGACAGAGACCGCAGCATCATATTGAAGTAACCTACCTTGTGTCCTAGTCCTGGGCCCTTGCATAGACCTTTGGCATTTGTTTCTGGTACTTGAGGTAAAGAGCCAGTCACTAACAAATCTACTTATTCTATTTCCTCAGTATTCAGAGATCTTAAATCCACTTTTGTCCCTAGAGGAGAGACAGGAGTGATAGATGCTGTGTTAGAAGCTGGTGCTTGAAATATGGTCTTGCTAATGCTGGATGCTTTACTTTCAGGGTGAAAACCAAGACAGCAGCCAAATATGGCCTGTCAGCGCAGCCCCGCCTGGTGGATATCATTGCCGCAGTCCCCCCTCAGTATCGGAAAGTCTTGGTTCCCAAGTTAAAGGCCAAACCCATCAGGACTGCCAGTGGAGTGAGTATTCAGTTATTGAAATATTGCTACCGGTAGTGAGGTGCAAGGGGGAGGCAGACTCCAAAAGTCCGTCCACTGTGTTCTGTGCTGGAGTGGAGATGTGTGTAGAGGGCTAAGAGGCAGAGAGAGGAGACCAACTGGTTGTATTTAAAGTAGATAGATAATGTGGTGATGTCTAGAAATAAAGATTGGGGCTTGGTGATGATCACAATCTGATAAATGTTACTGGCCTTCATGAGCCGATAGATTTTTAAATAGTTGATATTTATAAAAAGTACTTCAAAAGGTAATTAACGAATCCTAGCTACTCATAAGGCCGAGATCTAAGGATTGAAGTTAGCCTGGGCAGGAAAGTCCATGAGACTCTTAACTCCAATCAATCACCAAAAAAACCACCACCACCACCAACAAAAAAACCCACAAGTGGTGCTATAGCTTAAGTGATAAAGTGCAATCCTGAGCAAAAAAGCTCAGGGACAGCTCCCAGGCCCTGAGTTCAAGTCCCATGACTGGCACCAAAGAAAGGGGTAATTAATGATTCAAAGAAGTTGTGTGGCATTTTACAGAACAGTGAGCATCCAGGAACAAGAGAAAACACAGTGCTTGCTTTGCCTGTAAAGGATGCTCAGGGGACAAGAGTAGGCTCAAAAGATGGGAGTAAGGGCAGGGGCCTGAGGTACAGAGGTAGTAGTGACACAAAGTCTGTGGTGCATGTGGGCAAGAACACCTTACTCACAGGATCCAGGGTCCATTTGGCCTGGAATTCGTGTTCTTGCCTCAGCCTCTGGAGAGTCCATATGAAAAACAATGGGGCATTAGTTTGGGATCAGCTTGTAAAAAGTCTTAAATTTCTGGCAAAGAAAAACGTAGTAGGAAACCATACAAGGTTTCTGAGTGATATGAACATGGTAGATTTCCAAAACATTTGCCTAGATCCAGTATATAGTATCATTGGACAACAAAAAGAACAGTTTGGAAATCTTTGGTCCATTCTCCAGGTAAAGCATTAAGGATCTTTATTGGAGTCTATAGGAGAAAAAGGCTGAATGTGGGTAAATCAGCAGGATTAACACCCTCGTGAAATGTAATCCCCAGAACTGACTTCTGTGTACCTGATATGATCTAACACATTTAGTCTGGTTTGGATGAAGACATTGTTGTACTTGAGGCAGCTTCTGTTGTTCCTGTCTTCTGGATTCTAAGACATTTTTAGATAAGTAAACCCCACAGTTTCTACATACAGTGGACTGTGAAGCCTAGTGCCCTATTCTTTGTGCTTAAGCATTTTGGTTTGGTTTATTAAGAATAGTTTGGCATCACACTCCCCAAAGAGAACTCATTAACTTTTACTCCCACATACTTGAGTAATATGCCCTATATTCAGGTCTTAAAGGTCCAAGTGAGTTAGTTGGTTAGCCAAGTCTTAAACTCCCAGGTTTTAGCACCAAGTTCAGGATTACCACTGTGGAAGAGAGTTTGCACAACCTTTCAGCATGACCCACACACCTAGCTTTCTGCTGCTACCCTCTCCAAGTTGAGTTTCCATCTGTCTGGTCATTCCTGTCCTTTGAGGACTACACTTTCCTATGATCCTGGCCTACTGTCATAAGCATCGTAAGTGCTTTCCTCGTGATGTCATTATGAGATGATTTAAATGCAGCCATCTGCTGACCCCAACTCCAACCTGCCTCTGTGGTTCAGACTCATGCCAGACTGCCAGGTGGACTGCCTTCCAACCTCCAGTGTCACAGCCCAGCTTGCTCCTTCACCTTTTCTGTCTATTACCACTACCATCCTCGCAATGGTGTGTGAAATGTGCTGGAAGGAATATTTTGGCTTGTATTATTTCTTTTTTAGATTATTTTCATTCATTTCCTAAGTGATCTACATTGTCTGGCTTGTACCAAATCCATCTTCAGTAGTAGCAGAAATCACAGAACCACACGTTACTCCCCGTGTGTGGCCCTTCTCACCACCGTGGTTTATTCTTGCCTCCCTCTCATGGTGCATTGTGGATTCTTCATAGAGCAGCTTCACGTTTACAGAATAGTGAGCCAAAAGTGCATAATCCCGACATGCTTCCTCTTCTCCTACCCTCAGTTTATCTGGTTTTAGTATCTCATTTTGGTTCAATACATTTGCTACAGCGACTGAACCATATCGCCCTGTTATTACTAACTAAAGGCTATAATTTGCATCAGTGTTAATTCTTTGTTGTTCATTTATGGGTTTTACCAAATGCATAGTGTCATTTATCTTTCATTATGGTACCATACAAACTAGTTTCACTGCTTAAAATAACTTATCCATCCTTCCCAGTGTCTAAATCTAACTTCTCTAACAAATATCTACTCCTGTCTCTGTATTTTTTGGCTTTCTCAGAATGTCATATACTTAGAATCATACAGGATCTATGGTTTTTTAGATTGACATTATAGATAGACTTCTTTCACTTAGCAATATGAACTTTTAAAGTTCCTCTACATCCTTTCATTCCTTTTCATTCCTGGAAATATTCCATTGTATAGATGTACCAGTGCTGTTTTACCCATGTACGTGTGTGTGGAACATTACTCCAGCAGTGCAGGAGGTCCAGCTTGAAGGAGCAGCAGGATCACTGTTGCATTTAGCTGTCATATCTCTTCATCTTCTGTCTTTCCTTGACTTCAATACTTAACACCTTTGAAGATTTCACGCTATTTTCTAGCATGTCCCTCAATGTGGATTAATCAAATGTTTCCTCATAATTAGATTCAGGTTGTACATTTTTGCCAGGAATGAATGTCACAGAAGTAGGACGGAGAATCTGCATATATATTTGTGCATACTTGGGCAGGACATACTTATAGCTGTGTTGATGGGTATGCCAAGCTTAATATTTGTAAAAATACCTTTACTTTCATCCAGCCATAGACTTCATTTTGAATTTCTCCCTCCCTGCATTCATACCTCCCTCTGCCTGTAAGAAACCCACTTGCATTCACTTTAATTTTGCTCATCTGACTGCCTGTGTCAGAGGTAGCTGGTCTTGTATCTGCCACTGGCTCCTTTCTCAAGCTACTATGCTCCTCCGCCTTGGCTCTGCTGGACCCTTGAGATCTTTTTACAGGGACTCTGGATCCATGTATCCCTAGCTTTGTATTCCTGCTGTAAATGTTGAGATTTAATGTGTCCATGAGGAATCTGTTATGAGGTTAGGTTTGGATATAATTTTGTGAAATTACATAATCTTTTTCTTGGGGAGAAAATAAAAATCATTGTGGTTTTAAAATTTAATTCCTTATTTTGCACATAATTTATAAATAATAATTCATGTACATTTTAAAGATGATTGCTATTAAAAAGAGATCATCCTTGTATCCATCTTAGGAAGTATAGCATTACCAACACCTTTGGAGTCCATTTGTGCTGCACTGGTTACTTTTTAAAATTAATTTTTTTTTACAGATTGCTGTTGTAGCTGTGATGTGCAAACCACACAGGTGTCCACATATCAGTTTTACAGGAAATATATGTGTGTACGTATGATGATTTTGATATGTTGTGTGTATTTTAATTAAACTAGTAAACTCCCTAATACCTCATCCCTTACATGCTGGTAATATTTAAAACTTTAAGTAGATTTATAGTTCTTAGAAACAGGTAACCATTGATAAGATTTTACAGTTCTTTTAAAATGAAACATACAAAGATTTTAATTTATTGCAGTATTTTTTTAAATGCGTAGATATAGATATGTATAGTCATCCTGTTAATGGAATAAATGAAACATGGAAATAAGAACTTCCTAAATTCCAGTGCCAAAGATTTCAAGTAAATTTTGATCAGAAAAGTATCAAAATAAAAAATATTTCTTACAAATAGCAAACTGAGATACTTGGGATTAGCAGAAGGAAATGCTTAACTCTAGGTGGGAAAATTACATAGAAGGGAGAATTGCTTGACTCTGGTTACCAGGAATGCCCTGAGTCAGTATCAGCAGGAAACCCTGATTCCTGTTACTTGCCCTAAAAGCACAAACCTCTAAATCACAGTAAGTACAGCATATTGAAAATGACTGCAATAGTTTTCCTTTGAATACTTGTTTACCAGCTGGTAGCGAATACATTATCTATAACATTAGACTGTTCCACTGGGATTTGAAAATGGAGCTTGCTTGCCGTCAGGGTTTTGTGGAGAAGGTGTGTCTGATCTCTGTTTGTTCCTTGTGTTGGCAGCTATTGCCCTGGTGGACCTGATTCTGATTTTGAATATTCAACCCAGTCTTACACTGGATATGAGGTAAAGTCCTCTGAGCTGTCCTGAAGTTTTTCGTCATAGGTTTCCATTGTGCAGTTTTACAAATACTAGCTTTTACCCTTCTTCTTGATTGGAAAAGCTCTGTGTCTTCTAGTAGCATGTATGTTCTATCTGCTGGAGAAATACTGATGTAAGTGCTTAATATTATCCTATCTCCACTACCCTCCTACTTGCTGCACAACCCAAAACCTTAATGTGGTTGATGCATGGATGGTCCTAGTTGGATAGTTGAGGAAACAGAGTTCTGCGGGGCTGCACAGCTGCCGCAGAGATTCACTGTTAGTGAGCAGCAGCTTTCGCTGCCCCTCCCCGCCCCCCCATGTGTGCTGAAGCCCTGCTCTTGTAAAATGGATGTCTGACAGTAGAAGTTAGGCATGAAGGAACAAACAAGAAAACATCCCTGAGTAACAGTTGCTAGGCAGGGAAGTGAGCATGAGTAGGGTGATAATAGCTGGGGCTACTGAGAGACGGTGATGGCCAGGATTCCCTAGGGGAGGTGGCAGTGGAGCTGCGTCCTTGTGGACAAGTGTGTCAGGAAGGCTGATTCCTAGCAGAAAGGACAGCTAGAAGAGCCACAGTGGGAAAGATGGGGGGGCGGTGGAGAAGGGGGGAGCAAGGAGATGCAGCCTAGAGAACAGTGGATGACGGTAGGGAGTCTTTATTTACTACAGGTGTCAGGAGAACCTTTATGGCTTCAAGCAGGGAAATCATACAACGGATTTTTAAAGGCCTTTTAAAAGGCCATTCTGATGGCCATGTAGAGAAAGGACTAGAGTAGACCCAAGAATGCAAACAGACCCCTGAGCAGCCATGGAAGGAGGCCCGCTTTTCTGGTGACATCAGATGCACGCCAGCAGATGACTGTTTTTCCTCATATATGGTTTCATCCCGACCCCCTGTCATTTTTCATAGTTCAGTTTTCAAAATACATCCTGATTATTTGGTGAAACAGTTCCTCCGATGCCCAGCCACCTTTTTCTGTTCCTCTCCACAGAAGTCAGACAGGGCTGCTGTTTGCTCTGCATCCTCCAGACCTGTCTTACGGACTTGAACACATGCATATTTGTTTCACTCTCCAAGTCAGTATAGGCAAAGTGTTCTGTACCTTCTGCTTTTCCTTCAACAACATTTCTCAGAGAAACTTTTATGCTAATCCATTGTTTAGAGAGAGAGAGAGAGAGAGTGTGTGTGTGTGTGTGTGTCTGTCTGTCTATCTGTACTGCAGCCCAAGAGGGGCAGTAGCATCAAGGCTATTTGTCATTACAAGCCATGTGTGGTTAAGAACCTTATTTAAAGGTCATCTGGCCGCTAACTCTTGAGTTTGTGTGCACATCTGTGTGGATAAAACACCTCGATGACTGAAGGATGCAGTGAGCATTTGCACATACAGCCGTGTGCTTCCAGGACACACCCAGCTGCTTAGGTAATGGGGCACACTCAGGACGTCATTTTGAACCCTGAAAGGAAGATGTGACCAAGGCAGGTTTTCAGTTTTCAAACAGAATATTAATGCTAACGTAGCCATTCACAGTTACTTTTCTGTTGTTTTGTTTAAATTGTTTATTGTTACTAAAAAGATGATGTACCGAGGGGTGACAGCTATATAAGTCAGGTGGGGAGTACGTTTCTTTTGGACAATGTCACTGCTTCCCTTGCGCGCTCTCCCAGTTTTTCCCTTCCTCCCCCACCCACAAGTCAGATATAGTTCATTATCTATATCGTGTCCAGTGAGCACCACTGCTGCCTTTGTTCAGCGTCTGTCCCTCCATTTCTCTGTACTTTTTTTCATTTGATGTGAGTGTAAGAGGTTTTTTACTCTTTTTCTCTTAGCCAACCTCCATGCGAGCTATTCGTGCTAGATATGACCCTTATCTACAGACAAGACACCGGATAGAACAGGTACATTTTGAAAAGCTTTTTCATTTTTATTTTCAATTTTACCTATTTGCTGTACTGGGTTTTAAGCTCAGGGCCTTGCTCTTACCTCTGAGCCATCCCTCCAGTCACGCCTTTGTAGTCTTTTCATATTTATGCGAAGAAAAGAGACTATTTTGCAATACCTGGCATGGGCAAAACCTCTACTTGTTAGAAATTGTACTACATTCTGTTCTCTTTAAGGGTTTTATATTCTCCAAAAAACTCATTTTCGAAAGCATAAGGAAGTTGTTTGACAAGAAGCAATTGCCTTGAATTCTTGCTTCTCTGAAGTTGGCTTTCCATGTGCTGGGATTACAGTTGTGCACCACAACATCCAGCCTACTTCTCACTCTCCCTTCTTATTGAAACACTAATTTTCTTCTTTCATACTTATGGCTATTTTTTTTATTAGTTCAATATGTTAAATTGTTTCTCATTTTTAAACTTGACCAGTAAAACATTGCAGAATAACATTGGAAACATTACAGTACTCTCGAAGAGTACTTTCTGATGTTAATGAGTTTGTGTTTCTTTCAGTTAAAACAGCTTGGTCACAGCGTGGACAAAGTGGAGTTTATTGTGATGGGTGGAACATTTATGGCTCTTCCAGAAGAATACAGAGATTATTTTATCCGGAGTTTACACGATGCTTTATCAGGACATACTTCTAACAACATTTACGAGGCAGTCAAGTAAGAAAGTCTCTTTTTATCACACTTGAGGTGACTGTCACATTCTCCCCTGGTGGCAGCCTGTGAACTCCTGTGTGCACCGTGTGCATTCTTACTTTTCATGCTCTCTCCTGATGGAGGACTCCTGTGTACACTATGTGCATTCTTACTTCTCATGCTCTCTCCTGACTGTGGAAGGCATTGTCTTCATTGGAATAATCCTTTAAAGCAAGTGCATATGGTCTGTTGATGTGTTTGTATTCTCAACCAGAGAAGGTTGACGTGAGCTATCCACACTAGGACTTGTTTTGATTGGGTTAGCTGAATTGTCAGCCCTTCCAAGGAAAGACTGGGCACTCTTTATTCAAAACATTTATCTCTAAAATCAGCAAGGCCAGTGACTAGTGTTTAAAACTTAATTTATTAGTAATGGATACTTAATAACTATTAACTAATTTGTGTTTACAAATTAGTAAACACTGTCTTAGTCTGTTTTGTGCTTCTGTTACAGAATGTGTGACTCTGGGCAATTTGTAAAGAGTAGAAACATCTTGTCCTGCCACACCAGAGTCTGGCACATCAGTCTCAAGGTGCCAGCATCTGGTGAGGACCTTCTTAATGCATCTCCTTGGCAGAACCCAAGTGGACAAGTGAGGCAGGACTCCTTGACTTTCCTGTGATAACAGCATCATCCCACCCAGACCTCAAGGCCTAATTACTTGCCAAAGCCCCCACTCCCCCCAACACCACCCCAATACTGCTACACTGGTGATTTAATTTCAGCATGGGGTTAAGAAGAGGCAAACACTGAAACCATACCAGAATTAATTCATTTATTATGAATTCTAACTGACAGAAGAGAATGATGAATTTTTGGATGCCTTCCATATCATATTTTCTCACGAGAATGCTAGAGTTTCATATAAAGTTCAATGATTTAAGAAGTGAAAGTCTTAAAATAGTGCTTTCAGCAGTGTCAGTAACTGCTGAAAGGCAGTAACCTATGTTTTGTGTCTTATCAATCGGTGCCTGCACTGTCAGCATGCACTGTGCAGTGGTGCAGATGCTGGAAGACTGGTGAACGAGACAGAAGCAGCCTTTGGTATTTTTCATGTGGCATACAGTAACAGAAGTAGTCAGTCCTCTGAATGGGAGGACCTGGAACATAAACAAGAGTCAGTGAGACCTCTATGAAGATAACAGGAGGACCTGGACAGAAAAGCTTAGATCCCAGGGAGCAAGGACGAAGGGCCACGTTACACACTGCAGTGCAGTCGTTGGTAGAAGAATAATGTTAAGCTGGTGAGCTCCATGACCTCACTAACAGTCTTGTCTTCTGGCTGCTGTCTGACTAATGGACTAGAGATGGGGGCATATTTGTGCAGTATTCCTTCTTCCTCCGTTGCTTTCAAAAATTAGTGTCCAGGGTAATCCAAGGGGCCTTTGTAAAGGACTTAGCTGTGGGGGAGAGCAGTGACCTTAGATTGGCTAGGGAATATGACAGGTAAATTCTGGCCTCAAACCCAGACTTTGGGCAGTGGGATCTGTTTTCACCGGGGCTTTTGTGGTAGGGTAGGAGGGTGTCTCTTTTTATCGCTCATTCAAAACCTTGATCATTATATGAGTCATGTTAGTAAAATGCTAAAGTCTTCAAACTTTAGAGGAATAATAATGTAATCTAACTTACTCCGCTTCCTGAAAAATCAAACCATTGCTTAGATAAAATGCATCTGGAGGAAATGAACTTAATTAATTGAAAGCCCTGTGACATTGGTATAGCAACAATAACTCAGAAGATTCATTCAGCTCTGAGTCTCCAGAGTCTTTCCTCCCGCGTTTATGTACTTAGCCACCAGTTTGCAGATTGAATGGAATTGAGCTATAAATATCGTGAACATGGGCCGACTTCGTGAATGCCTGGGGTTTCCGTGAGCCAGCGGTCTGAGGCCTGTCTGATGAATTTCTAGGGTGCAGCTACCCTGACAGTTGGATCAGTTGAAACTCTAAACAATTTTGCTTCAGTCTTAGAATGAGAATTGTATTTGTGCAGAACCATCTTCATGCCTAGTGATGTTTTTAAAAAGTTGTCTCTCAGAGTGAAAATGGGGTTTGGAGTTTTAACGCTGTAGCTTCAGATCATGACGTGAGTCCCCACCCCCAAAGCCCTTCGAAGCCTCTTCCAGTAATGAGCTAGGCAAAAGCAGCCTTGTTTTGTTTCTATTCTTGAATTTGCCTCAAGAGGGCAACACACACTTTCTTTCAGATAAAAATTTATATATGACTGGAGTTTTCATTGCCACAGATCTCATGAATGGCTCCTAGGAAGTAATAAGAGTACAATTTGGGTGCCATAAAACGGTCTGTAATACCACACGGGTCTGCTGCCCACTCCCGTATCTTACTCGGTTTTAGTCCCTTTTATGAGACAATATGGAAAAGCCAGCTTGTGTGTTCTTGTTTTATGGAAGACTTTTTACTACAGACTCCCTCTAGTAGAATTGTTATTTGTTACTAGGGGAGCCATAATATTTGAAATAGGAGTTGGGATTTGCGTTGGTGACAGAAAATTATTTTCAGATGTTAGATTATTGTGAGACAAGGAACGATCCAGTAATTTGTTCTCTTCACGTTTTGTGGCTTGACCTTGCATGGAGGGGGTTCATTGAGGAGTTTGTCCCAGCGTTTCCCCTTTACCCTTCAGGTTTATCTTACTACAAATGGATACTAGTTGTTTTCACTACTTAGATGCCAGACCTTTTCTTAGTAGAGTTTTATTCAAAGACTGATTTCAGGCTAGAAATTTTAAGCTAAAAATTACTTGGTGGCAGATATGTCTCCAAATTTAAGGTTAGGAATCTTTGTTCAGGTGAAAGTCATGCTTTCCCACTGGCTCAGATGCCCCTGCTTTGTTTTCCTTCCTCTTCAGTTGATGAAAGGTTTGTTTATTTAAAAGATCAGGGTAAAGAAAAGTCCCAACAAGGTGAGCCTGGTTGCTTTTTGTGGCAAGTTAGTAGCAAGAAGTAGACATGCCCTGTGGGTGGAAAATTGGAAAGAGAGCAGAGAGCCCTTCAACGCAAAGCAGGTATGGGCTCTGTGAGGGCTCATTGAATGAGGCCCACTCTTAATCAGTCATTACTAACGCCTCCGCTGAGCCTCTTCAGAAGTCTCTGGAGAGCAACAATTGCTGGTGACCATCATCCTCGAGAAATCTTAGCTCTGGAGACAGAACGACCATCGTGGGATCTGAGTCACCCATTCACCAGAATGCAGATGTTGTTGGATAACACAGAACACCCTTTTAAAGGAGTTTTATTCCTTTTTAATCAGCTCTGCCCAGGAGCAGTTTTACATTCAATCTTTAATGCTCCTCGGCTGTCTTCACAAGATGCAGTTTAAAATGGTAGTTACCCATCAAGAAGTGAGTGAGTCACACTTTCTCCCTGTGGAATTCTTAATTCATTTCCGCTCCTTCCATCAGTTGCTTTGAATCCTTACATGTCTTGGGAAAGTTGGAGTGGTAGGTTACGCTAGCTAGGTACCAGGCCCTGAAGACGGTTTTGTAGACTTGCTGAGTGATGACGGAAACAACCTTTGAAGGCTACCTCCTGCCTTGCTGCCCCGGGCCAGGAACCTCTTGCATTTATGGACTTAGCTCTGATCTTTTCCTACCCTTCACATTGTATACTGGCCATTTCCTTCCTGAGCTACCCTAATTTCATAGATGGTAGCCAGGGTTTTTTGGTTTTGTTGTTGTTGTTTGTAATAATACTGGTGCTTGGACTCAGGACCTGAGTACTGTTCCTTATCATTTGATCTGTAAAGAAGATGCTCTACCACTTGAGCTATACCTCCATTTCTAGCTTTTTGCTGGTTAATTGGAGATTACGAGTCTCTTGGACTTTTCTGCCCAGACTGACTTTGAACTAGAATCCTCAGATGTCAGCCTCCTGAGTAGGTAGGATTACAGGTTTGATAGCTAGGGTTCTTAACGTATGCTGGCCAACCTAGGCTATAGCCTTAGTCATCTTGAAAGAGATGGTTTTATTCCCAACATTTTGGTTGAAACAAATAGTTTCCCAGTGAGCCACCCGCATAGCCATCCCCTGATTCTGCAGTACTGGCTTGATCACTCTGTCCTAGCACTGCCCAGCCGTTCGTCTTCATTCTGTGCATTTCAGAGTAAGCTGCATGGTTCAGTGCAGTCTCCACCCTCCCCCGCCCTCCCCCCCCCCAGCGCACATACCTGTCATGCACATTAACTGGTGTTTGCTGTTTGGTGTTTTGGATTTTTTTTTTCCTCCTGAAGTAAAGTAAACTCACATACAGTGAAATACACAAATCTGAAGAGTTCTGTTGATTCATTTTTTTTTGACAGACACAAATACCTGTATATAAAAAAACACTTATGATACACAACATTGCCATCATTGTAGAAAGTTGCTTTACACTCTTCCCTTGAAATCCTCATTTGCACCTCCCAGAGAGAAACACTCTTATGATATACAACATTGCCATCATTGTAGAAAGTTGCTTTACACCCTTCCCTGGAAATCCTCATTTGCACCTCTTAGAGAGAAACACTCTTATGATACACAACATTGCCATCATTCTAGAAAGTTGCTTCCCTGGAAATCCTCATTTGCACCTCCCAGAGAGACCCATTCTTCCCACCATGGATGTTTGGCCTAAAACCACACACAAATGGGATCATCTCGCTCTAGTCTTTTGTGCAAGACTTCCTTTACTGTCCATAGTATTTTGAGACTCATCAATGTTATTGGGTCATTCAGTAGTTGCTAACTTATTAATGTCCAGTAGTGTGCCACTATGTACATAGAATTCCATAGTTTGTCCCTTCTTCTGTTGACAGACACTGAGGCTTACTTACACTTCATATCTGTTGTGAGTAGAACTTCAGAGAACATTCTTGTAAAAGTTCCTTTGTGGCTATCTGGGTAGTAACTGAAGTAGAGTTGCTTCATTTGTTTTGTGCTGCCAGCCATGTTCCAAAAGTGGTTGCG